CTCCTTAGCTTCTCCTAGAAAGTTAAAATACTCTCACTGCTCTGAGGAGTACTAAATATTATATAGGATGGTTCGGAGGGAAATATCTGGTACATACATATGGCAGACTTAACATCATTATAGAGATTTGGGCAGCAGTCCATAATCAAACACATTCATTTTTCTGCAATGAAATATATGAATATTCAACTCACATGAATTAATAAATAGCCTTTCAGTGGCAAAGTCAGGTTTGTCCACCAAGTAACTGTGCAATCTTCAGGGCTTTTTGGATTTCATAAGCATAGGAAGAAACTGGATCAGTACTTGAATTTGAGTAAGTTAGGCCTAGGTATGATGTAACTCCACTGCACTTCAATGGAAACAAAAAAGGAAGGTGTTGCTGAGGGCTAGTAAGATTTGTAAAGATTTCACAGAGAAGAAAGCCTTGACAAAGTCTGGAGAGTGAGTAAAATTTTCAAAGGTTGACAAACAAAAGGTATCCCATGTGAGGAATAAAAGCTCTAGTTCATTCACTAGTATTTGTCATAAGGAAAACACAAACTGAAACAGTGAAATAACACCATATACCTATTAGAATAGCTAAAATTTAAAAATCTGATAATATAGTAGTTTAGGGGGAATAGTTTCCAAGACCCTCAGTGGATGCCTGAAACCACAGATAAGTGTTGAACCCTGCGTATACTGCTTTTTCCTATTTGCCCTGCAGTGTGGTCACATAGTATCAGAGTTAAACCAGAGTTAAACTGTCCCTTCATGCTTTATGCCCTGGTACCTCCTGTGCAGCACCATTCTTGTGCTTTGGAGCATTAAGTAAAATAAGAGTCGCTTTAAAACAGCCACTTCAATATTGCAATAATCAATCTGGTAATTGTGAAGGGGTAGCATATACAGTGAGGGTACGCTGGACACAAGGGTGACTCACATCATAGGTAGGATGACATGAGATTTCACCATGCTGCTCAGAGTGCATGCAATTGAAAATATACAAATTATTTATTCCCGAAGTTTTTCATGTAATATTTTCCAACCACTGTTGACCTTGGGCAACTGAAACCATGAGGAATGAAACTGTGGATAAAGAATTTGAGGAAAACTGTTGCACCAAATTTTGGCAAGAATGTGGAGGAACAGAAACTTTTGTGGATTGTTGGTGGTAATGCAAAACAGTATAGGCATTTTGAAGCAGTTTCCTACAAAGTTATACTGTCTTTCTATACAATCCAGCAACTGTGTGCCTAGTTGTTTACCACCTGATTTGAAGACTGCCCACACAAAAAAACAGTACATGAATGTTAATAGCTTTATTCATAATCCTCCAAACTGGAAACAGCCTAAGTATCTTTTAATAGGTGAATGGATAAATTATGGTACATTCATACAATGGGACACTATTCTGCCAAACAAGCAAACAAAACAAGCAATCAAACCACACAAAGACATGGAAGAATTGAAAATGTGTATTTCTAAGTGAAAGTAAATATCAAATCTAAAAATGTCACATATTGTATGACTTCATTTACATGAAATTCTGGAAAAGGTAAAACTAGAGAGAATAGATCATGCCAGGTGTTCAGGGTAGAGATGGGTTGAACTCAGTGAAGCACAGGGGTTCTTTAGGTCAGTGAAACTATTCTGTAAGATACTTTAACATTAGATATACTACATCATGCATTTATCAAAACTCAAAGAGCCCTGTAGCACAGAGTCAATAATAATGTATAAAAAATGTTTTTGCTGGGGATTTAGCTCAGTGGTTTTGCCACCTGCTGTGCAAGCGCAAGGACCCGAGTTCGATCCCCAGTACCAAAAAAAAAATTTGTAATGATCTAGGACAGTGGTGGCAAACCTGTGGCACATACGCTGCAGTGGGCTATTTGTATCATTGAAAGTTCTAAAAGGTTCACCATCATGATCAAGGAGGTGAGAGGCTCCCAGGATAGAATGTAGAGAGTTGAATTATATTACAAATGTATGAAATAACATCATTGAGAAAGAGAGAAGGTGCCGACCTAAACACCTTTGGAAAGGGTTGCATCTCTAAGATGACTGACAAAAGGAACTCTCGTTGATACAATGAGGTATGGATTAATTAAAAATTTACTATACAACATGCATATATTAGAAATGAACAATTAAATAACTATATGGCAGCTGTTGGGAACCAGGTATCTCACTGTTCGAGTCAGACAACAAGGGGGAAAGGCTAGGGAGATCCATGTGGCAATGGATTGGAGTTGGAGACATCAGTATGAACTCATGTTTATCTTAATATAGATACAGACAGTTACACAGATATATTTCTAGAGATGTGTATACAGAGAGTAGTACACACACATATTTTTCTTTCCCATGTCAGCTAAGAAGGTCTAAATGCTGGCACTCTCTTGAGAGGGACTGCCTTAGTTTCTATTAAACTTCAATGGTGGCTTCTCTTTTTCTAAAAATCCAGTAAACTTCTTAACGGCAGGGATCACAACAAGGTCATTTTAAAGCTTCTCACAACACTTAGATGGAGCAAGTGGCTGGCTGGTCACTGATAAATAATCACATCAATTCTGTTAGGGTTTTTTGAGGGGGTAAAATAATAAATTCTTATTTCATCACACTTAAATACAAGCAACTACCTTGACATTTTAGAACATTCTAAGGACAGCAAACCCTTTTGATTCCAGTTCCCAATTCACTAACATTGTAGCATAATTCTGTCAGTTTGATTTCTACTTGGAATCAAAAATAACATCTTTGCCAGGCATGGTGGTGGACACTTCTAATTCCAGCACTTGGGAGGCTAAAGGAGGAGAACTTTGAGTTAAAGACCAACCTGGGGTACCTATTTAAAAATAACATGTTATATAATTTTATATAATACATAAAATTTATAATATACACAATGCTTTTTAAAAGCTGGAAATTTTCAGATATATTCAAAGTAGATTAAAGAGTATACTAAAATTCCATATACTAATTATGCCAACTTTCTGTGTCTTTACTTTTTAAAAAATTTATTCTTTGGAGGTGCTAAGGATCAAATACAGGGCCTTACTCAAGCTAACCAGGTGCTCTACCATTAAACTATAAGCCCAGTCCCCTCCTTTGTTTTTTCCAGTGCTAAGTATTGAACTCAAAGCCTTGTGCATTCCAGGCAAGTGTTCTATCACTGTGTTACACACCCATCTTTTCTTTTTTTTTACATACTATGTTTTGTTGATGAAATTGTCCTACAGAATTTCCTATATTCTAGGTTTGGCTGATTGTATTCGCTTGATGTCTTTTAACATCTTCCTCTACCCACTGTATTTCTTGAAACTGGTAGTTTAAATATGGAGGATTGACTAGATTCAAGTTTTAAAAGATGTTTTGCAAGAAATTTTCATAGTATTATAGCATATGAGTTGTGATCAAACTATGTGGTGAGTGTTTAAATTTTTAAAAAATATTTCAGTAGCTGGGTGTAGTGGCACACACTTGTAATCCCAGCACTCAGGAGGCTGAGGCAGGAGGATTGCCATGAGCCCAAGGCCAGCCTGGGATACACAGTAAGTTCAAAATCAGACTAAACTACATAGTGAGACCCTGTCTCAAAAGAACAACAGAAACAAAACAATAAAACCAAACCAAAAAAAACCAAAACTCAAAAATTATTACAGTAAAAGACACACGGTCATTAATTCCCTTCACATTTTGCTTTCTCATTTCAAACATACTTATCCCATTATTTTTGCAACTTTCTGGAAGCAGTTCTGGTAGTTCTTTCATAACTGTTTTTATGAGGTGTGATAAAAAATGTGGTGACTGCAAGTGCTGATAACAGAAGCAGGCTTGTAAAAACATTGTATGTGTCCTCATCTACCATACCTGGTACCATGCAACTTCTAGCTCTTCTTCAAAGTCAAAATGACCATGAAAGGTAAACATTTTGACTTGATTCAAGACATTGAGGGTGCCACAACTGTGCAACTAAAGACTCTCACAAAAGAGGACTTCCAGACCTGCTTCAGAAAGTGGAAAGAACAATGGGATAAGTGTGTTTGAAGCAAGGGGCATTATTTTGAGGGAGATTAATGGTAAAATATCTTTTAATATAATAAATATTTTTTAAACTTTAAACATTCACTGTTTTATCATACCTTGTCCTAAGAGGCATACAATAACGAATTGTCCCACTTTTAATGACATTGAGATTTATCAGTGGGTTTAGGTTATGCCAGCATAAGTCATCCATTATAGACTTCCCTACCAACTTCATTATTTTAGCAAACACAGACAGTCATTACCTAGCGTGATTATTTCAGTTAGGGATGAAAAAATTATTCTTTTTATATCTGTCATTTATTTTTATTTAAGATTCTTCACCTACTAGTCTACTACTCGTTTTGAAATTCTGTATACATTAAGGATACGAATCAAATTCAAAGTTCTTTGTAGAGCCTTCCCTGGTTGCTACAAGGCAGAACTTTGACTCCTCAGGTACCAATCACATACTAGTCTGTAGCATAATTTTATCTGCTAGCCTGTAAGCTCCAAGGGGTCTCAATTATGTTCTAGGCCTCTCCAGCACAGTGGTCTGAACATAGCAAGTATACAACAAACGTGTAATATTCTTTAGTTCAGTGAGTATTCAGATGAAAAATCCCCTACTCACATAAACATAAGTGGCAAGATTCCAAAATGACACACACATACACACATATATATGTAATACCACAAATTTATTATAATACACAGAGAACAAACCCAAACTTTGACAATTTCCCTAGAATTATTCAGTTTTTAAAATGTTAACAGAAATAAGGGATAACTGAGGGAATATAATCTTGTAATTTTATAATTATGAAACAATGTAGTATACTCAAGAATTCTCCGTAAAGAAAAAAGATTATAAAGTGACAGCTTCTATTAGATATTTAAAAATTTGTATTGCATTTATTTACAATACAGACATAGGTCCTCAAGGATTCACAGAACTTTAAGTAATAAACTAGATTTTATAGCTTGGCTTTTTGCTTGTTAAGTAAGCAAACCCAAAGTCAATAAAGTCCTGGAAAGTGGAATGGAACACAGAGAGAAATTCTGTTTGACCACCCAGAACCCTTTGAACAAAACATCACCCACACAAATTCCATATCTAGTGACATTCATTTTGATCTACTGATGATTACATGGAGAGTACCTCTGCCAGTTGTGATCTGTTTTCATGTAAACACTCTACCTCCCCACTTTTATTCCTAGAATTTAGAATGTGGTTTCACTACATATTCCTGTTGGTTCATAGACAAGTCAAACTCCTCCCTCTCTGTCTTTCCCCCCTCCCTTCTTTCCTCCCTCCCTTCTTTCTTTGCAGGGCTGGGGATCTAACATAGCCCCTCACTCATAACAGGAAACTGTTCTACCACTGAGCTGTATCACAATGCACAAGTCAAACAGGGAGGTTAGGTGAGATTATACAATGTGAGTCAGAACAAAATAAACTCTCCTGTTTTATTTCTTACTTTTGTTTCCATTTGACCTTTACCCTACTTAGGTCTTTGGGAACTATACATATGTATAACAGCACCTACCACACCTTCTCATTTTAGCGCAGGCTGGGTACCAGGAGCTAAAACAGGAAAACAATGAAGCAACCCTGAGACCTTCACACTGAAATAAACTAAAGCAGCTATGTCTTTTAGCTATTCTCCTGTTCTTTATTTTGTAAAAATAGGAAATTCCCCCATTTATCAGTCCTCATCTTTTCATAATATAGCAATGAAATCACTAACAGTCACTTAATGGCCTTATAAATTTGGTAAATGTGAAGATGCAGGCTATGTTATACAAAAATGGACTAGAAGGAAGACAGAACTAGAGATGTACAATCAGTGAAAATGCAGTCTTTGTTGTATAATAAGTACTACTGTATGTTACACAATAATCTGGGCCATAAGTACCAATTGTTTAAAGTCTTTCACACACAAACAGTCCTTCAAAATTGAGTATAATGAGAAAAAACAATAAGGAAAGATCCACAAATATCCAAATGTAGCTATTTCTTGGACAAAACTCTACTGATTGGTAGTTTTGGTTTTCCAACAAGAAAATATGAGAACAAGATAAATCTAGGAGTCACAATTTTAAAGGAAAAACAAAAACCTATGGTAAATGAATTTTAGCCATTCATTATATGGTTTATAAAAGGTCTGAAAAACTAGACCAATTCACAATTCTGGAAAATACTTTCACATGCAGTGTATTTATAATACTAGATATATATGATACTATAATGCAGTCTGTCAGTTTCTCAAAGTAGAAGAGCCCTTACTTATAGACCAAATATTCTCCTAGATACTCTCTATGCTACCACCTGCCTCCGCTGCACGATAAGCTACTCAAACCCTGTCTGGAAACAGTATAATGAGTGGCCTAAAATTATTTGTGATTTAAAAGTACCTACAGTATGCTAATAATATAAACATTTAAGTATGTAACCAATATTTAAATGAGATAATCCTCTAAACCATGATAACATAAGAAAGTGACATAATACAACAAATCATATCTTTCCACTAACTACACAGTTTCATTGATACATTCACCTGGGTGCAGATATATAAAAGTTATTTGTAAAACGATAGTGGCCCATCAAAAGAATCAGCTTGTTTCCAAACTAATGTTAACTTCACCTTAATGTCAAGTGTAACCGTGTAAGTAAGAGAAAGCACTGCTACCTTGAAACAGTCTGTATAACAAAAGCGTCGTGAGAAAGCTTTACCAGCAAAATTGATGGAAGCTGTTCAAAAGATCCATTAAAATTTATCATTAGTGATTTCAAATCACAACTTATTAAAAATTCAATTAATGTTTACCCGTGTTAGCACTTCAGAATAGTAACTGAACTCCAGAGTAAATACAACATCTTCTGAATGCAGTCAACAAGTGACAGAATCAGAGTCACAGTCAGAAGTTTACCAACCTGGCAGAAGGAATCTAGCGTACTCTGCGGATCTCTGTTCGTGATCAAAATAGCTAATATTTTTCATCTCTACTGGATGTCTTTGAAGAGTACTGTGTTGCTTCACATCCTCCTTTTATTGTATCAAAATATATTAAACAAAAGCTTTCAGTTAGATTTAAAAGCAGCTGAGAAAATTCTGGCTGCTCTAGGCTTTTATCAGAAGACTTGTTTGGAAGCTTTGAACTCTTAAATATCAGAAATCCCAATAATTTATCATAAAAAGACAAGGTCTTGATTTTGAAAAAATATACAAAATGCATTGCATAGGTAAATATCTCTTGATTGTCAAGGAAGACAAGGTATCAGTCTCAATCGTAGATTCATGTTGTACTGTATTTTAGTACTGTTTGTTTTTATAGTTTCCATTTTTTATAGTTTTTGGTGGCCTCTGACCCTTGGTGTAAGCACAGTACCAAAAATGAAGAAAAAGGAGCAGAAAAATGCACCCATATGACATAATAATGTACATAAAGACTGGATACTGGTACTTGCAATCCTCCATGAGAAAGATATGGCCCATGTGGATGGTGACAATAACAAACTGGATCTAAAAAATGAAAGAGTAATATTATTCAGACATGAAGAGTTTTTATACATTTATTCTTATTTTTTGCAGAGCTGAGGATCAAACCTGGGGCCCTGTGCATGCTAGCCAAGTGCTCTACCAACAAGCTAAACCCCCTGCTCTAAGAGCTAACAATTCTTTGCCTACCTATGTTCATATACTCCTCACCTGTATCTAAGCTACTGTTGGAAGTTCATCTTTGAATCTAGCCTCTTAGGAGTGAAAATAGATGATACAGTGTCAAAAATCCAGACAGGAGTTTGGAACCTCTATTTATTTCCAGAAAACTGCCCTGCTCCAAGGGATCCTATTTAAATGCTCTTGGAGCATGCAATGTACAACCATCTTACTACTTAGAGAACCACAGGGCAGGTTGCCTTTGGCAGTGGCTGACTTGCGTCCTTGACAGTGATGAAATCTATGTAGGACCACTACCTGTAGCCCAAGTTTCCAGGATGGTTTAGATTTCAAGTATTCAGTCCTGCTGTTAGAACAAATAGGTTAATTTTTAGAAAATAGAAACATTTAAATTAGAGCCTTTATTATTTTACAGGAGCCAAAGGATCCCTGGCTCCTCGTATCTGCTTCATGTCCTCCTCATCATAGATAAAAACAATCATAGCTGCCAAGCAGAGAGAGGGCCAGGAAGGAGTGAAACAGCACTGTCTGTCCTCCTAGGGCTGCTCAAAATCTGTCTGCACACAGTCCTAACACATCCATTTTCTATGCTAAGATTCAGGTATTTTGGATAGCCCCACCCCCATTAAAAGGCAATACATGTAGGGAAATTATAGAAAAGTAAAAATCTATAAAGAAATAAATAAAAATTACCCACAATCCATGCAGTTATAACTATGGCTAAGATTTTCACAGGGTTTCTTTTATTCCATTTTATTGTTATCATCAACTTTGCTTGCATTATCTTTTGCTTTACTGAGGGGGGTTGGGTACTGGGGAGCAAAGCAGGACATTGTATATGCTGGGCAAGCACTTGACCACCGAGCCACAACCCCAGCGCATCCTGGTGTTATCTTAATGAACTTGTATCATATTCCTGCACAGTAGCTACCCTTATTCCTTTAATTTTAGAGAAAAAGAGACAAAACTTTAGAAAGGGTAAGCAATGTTCTCAACATCCTGTATATGTGTGTGTATTTGTGGCTGACTGACATATTTAGAATATTAATGAACAATGTATATCCTTTTCTACATAAGAATTTTTACACTGTTACAACTTTTCACAATACTTGAATATGTTAAGTAGAAAAAAAAGACTAATACAAATTGTATATGCAGTATAAGTCAAATCACATAAAGGTTATATGCACACATACATAAGAGAGAAAAACTGACAGAACAAAATAAAACCTTTCAGCATTATTATCCTAAGATGATGGATATTGTTCTATGTCTCTGCAGTATTAAGGATTGAACCCAGGGCTTCATGCCTCCTACAAGCTAGGCAACAAGCTAGACAGCATGCTACGACTGCACTACATCCCTACCCCACATCTTTATTCTCCTTCTCTTTGTCTAATTAGGTTTTCTAATTTATCTGCAATGAGCACAGACATATTTTTAAATATTTCTGATGTTTCAATATTTTAAAAGTAGTAATGAATAATTTTATGACCTTACAGTATTCCACAGCCTGATTTAAAATAACTTATTTCATCATTTTCTTATGGTTGTTCATCTAGATTGCTGCCAATTTCAGACATTAAATAACTTCAAGGACAATACTCTCACTTGATTTTTGATCTTTACAGATTAAAACATCAGTCTCTCACCTGGGAGAATATCTTACATGAATGCACCATATTTCTTTTAACAAGTTATAGGATTTTTAATAAATATTAATCCTAACAAGATATCTATACCTAAAGTCATACTTTTTCCTTGGTCTCACTGGCAGAATATGAACCCTGTTTATTATAAACTACAAATCTGGAAATATGGGGATAACAGAATTCTCCTTTTAATAAAACAATAAAATTAAAAGCAAATCAGCATCTCATCCCTACAACTATTCTTAAAAATCTTACATGCTGCCTATATATTAGAATTAAACTGAGTGGTTCTGCTCTTGCTCTTTTAAACTTTTTTTTACTTGAAAGCAGTAGTCACATTCTTCAATACATATATGTTCATATACCATTTTACACCTTTCATCATTGCAATCCTTTTTACTTACTGGAAGAAAAATGAATTTATTAAGGTAATTTAGAACTAGAAGATGAAATTTCTAACTTCTTTTCCTTTTTTTGTTTTCTCTTGGGTAGTGCTGGGCATCATGCATGCAAGCCAAGGACTCTTAACACTGAGCTACATCCCCAGGCCAGAATTTCTACCTTCTAACTTAGTGCTATGCCTGTTGGTCATCACAACTTTGAGATTATTTTCATCACATAGATGATAATTTCTAAGTAAAATATCTATCTATCTATCTATCTATCTATCTATCTATCTATCTATCTAGAGAATATATCAAGGACTCTACCAGGAAGCCACCCTAGTCTGACTTACTTTTTGAGTCTCTTAAGTTACCAAATATGCTTTGTTCTCAATGCAGTTCCTGACAAAGTTCAAACAACATAGAAAGGATACTACCTCTATATTTTATAAACTTTATTCTTTAGCTAGTTTTCTAATTCACAGTGAAAACAAATAACTCTACTTTCATGCCTGGTTTTAAAGAAAATTAATTACTCACAAGCTGCAAAGATGTCAAATGTTTTTTCCACCACAAATACTTCTGGTAGGCTGGTCCCATTGCACACAGCCCATAGTATGTATACATCACTACATGCACAGCTGTGTTCACAAAGGCATGGAATGTTCCCAAACCACCTGGAAATAAACATTATATCATGAGGCCATTGTTCCTTAAAGTCAGATACATTTTTTGTCTGAACTGAAATTTCAGTATAATCATATTTCATGAATTTTAGTAGGAAGAAATAAAAACATATATAAAACATCAATTCTGCTAAACAGCCATCAATCTAGAGGAAATGGATAATATATTTAGTTAAAAATAAGATCCAAATTTTAGAAAATAAATTAGCATGTTTATTAGCTATGTCTTACCATTAAGATAGCCTTATGATCTAGGTTTACTTTAACAAACTAAATTGAGATACTTCTTAAATATGATATATTGCTTAATAATAATCAAAAGAATTTTAGTGAAGATTAACATATATAAAGTGCATTAATCTTAAATGTACAACTTAATATTTTTCACATATACTCATGTATGCAACCACCACTAAGATTCAGATATAAAGCATTCCTAGAATTCTTATGTGCCCCTCCTAAGATAACTTTTATTCTAATTTCTGTCATCAATTGTTAATTTTGGCTGTTATTAAACTTTAAATGGAAGTATACAGTGTACTCATTTGTGCCTGTCTTCTTTCAATCAACAAAATGTTTTTAAGACTCATGCATGTTGGTACATGTATGCTAATAATTTGTCTTTTACTTCTGTGTAGTATTATAGCATATGAGTATATCAGTATTTTTTTCATTCTCCGGTTGAAAGACATCTGAATTGTTTCCAATGTAAGCTATTATAAATAAAGCTGCAAAGACTGCTTTTGTACATTTCACTGTGTGGCATGAAATTCATTTTTTCCCACTCTCAGTAATGTGTATTAAATATTTTTAATGCCATAAAAATTTGGCAGTAAAACCACTGGCTTTCTCATTAGTAAGCTACATTAAATGTGCTTTTATCAATTACTATTTTTCCAAAATAAACATCTATTAACTGTGAAACCAACCTAGTTAATGCACCTATTTGATTATGTCTTCCTATGTTGGATTTCCTCTTCTAATTTCACCATCTTCATTTAAGAAGCAAAGAATACTTGAGAATGCCAGAAAGACCATTTCAATTGTCTTTACCAGTAACAGTAATGAGTAAAAGGTGTTTGGATGACGTTGATGGGGGCCTCCCAGAAATTTTTCCTGAAGATCTCTTTCCAAAGGGGCACAGTCTCGAAGAATCTGTCCTTCCTCCTTTCCCTTCTTCCCTCTTTTTCTTTTTTCCCTTCCCTTCCCTTTCCTTCCTTCCTTTCTTCTCTCTCTCTCTCTCCCCAAAGTCTTGCTATGTTGTTTATGCTGGACTCAAATGATATTCCCACCTCAGTCTCCCAGGTAGCTGCTGGAACTACAGGTACATACCACCACACCAGTAGAAATCTGCCTTTTTTATGTACAATCTGTGTCAGCTTCATGCTGTTGACCTAGAATTTTAAAATTTCTCCAAAATACTTTATTTTCTTAATTTCAGAATTTTTGATTCTGAAAATGAAGCAGAACCTCACATATTTAGATTATGGTAGAGGAAGCACTGAATTCATAAACACTATAAATTATAGAAAGTTTAAAGGAAAATATAAATTTATCATTTCCAATATAGTCTTCTAAGGGAAAATGTCATAAAACTGTTACACAGAAATTACTTTTTAATAATTTGAAATTGCAGTAATACTTAGTACTTCTAGATACTACCACTGCTAAAGTACTCCCTCCAAATAATTTATTTTAAATAGGTCTTTTTTTTTTTGAGACAGGGTCTCACTTTGTAGCACAGGCTGGCCTTAAACTCACAGAAATCCTCCAGCCTCAGCCTCTCTTGCACTGGGATTATCAGAGTGTGCCACCATGCCTGCCATTAAATAGTTACTTTTAAGTAAATATTTCCCCAAATTCTCATTTATGTAATGCTTCATAAACTTTCTACTTCAGAGTAGAGTACATCAAATTTTTAGCTAATCCCTTAAATATAACAAATTTAGGAAGGAACTGAATTAATGAAGCTTATTAACACCTCTCAGCTTTTATTTTATAGTTGGATTAATCTTGTTTCCCAAGAGAAACTTGAGTAAGTAAATTATAGTGTTGTGAAAACACCTTTTCTAGGTTAATTTTATTTTTTAAAAATTTATATGTTAATTTTAATATATAGTCATTGTCTACTTCTCATAGTTTAGGAATCAAGCTGCTTCACAAGGGTAAGCCAAATACCTGTCAAGTCCATTTATGTCTCATGGTAATACGTAAACAGGAAATCTATTTCAGCCTTTATAATAAAGTATGTCACAGCCTTTCTCACTAAGACATGTCTCCCATATTTAGTAGAAGAGTATCCTAAACACCCTAATACAAGGATCTTGTGATATGAATTTAAAAACATACTTAATGTAACTGAAAGTATTTAGTAAAGTTACTGACTAAAATAAACTATCACAGAAAATTAACTTATTTTCTCTAGGATTCTTTTCTGGTGTTATTTTAATAAGTTTTTTCACAAGTAACATTTTAATTGGTATTACTTTTTATTTTACTCTTTGGAAGGCTTTTCTTTTACTTTCTTTTTTTTTGAAGGCTTTTCTAATGAAGTATTTTCTAAGTGTGCTTTCTTTACAATAATGGGTCTGAAAAGCAAACTGAATGAATTACAATTAATGGCATCACATTTTACTCCTTTGGTTTGGAAAAAATAAAGGAATCACCTGGGTAATTACCATAATTCTACATATCTCTCAAAGAGGTTTTATATACAATTAATATAAAAACCAGTCACAGAAATATTTTCATCAAATTAAAAAAAAAGTTGGATTGCTATTATCCCAGAGGGGGCTACAAGACACAAACAGGAAATTAAACACTAGATAGGGATCAGCTATATTTAAATTTTTGAAAAGAAGAACTTAAACGGAACAGCCTCATTCTAGGAATGAAAAGCAGTGCTGAATAACACTTGTGGGAAAAGCTCCTTCTGGTGTATTTGCCACTGAATGCTTAGAATTTGCCACCGGGAATGTTTAGAGAGTTCAACATAACACCGAGCAGGAATGGCATTGTGAGAAGCACAGGAGAGACAGGAAAACATTTCGACCTTGTACGTTTTCTAAAGAAGAGAAATTAGGGTGTGGAGAAGGAATCTATCACAAAATGACCATAAACATGATAACATTTCAAAATTAGGTATATCATGTTTACATTTTCTTTATTGAAAGCATTTTTTTGTTCTTGAAATGGAAGCTAGATTATCAATGCACTCAAACACAGAAGTAAAAAAAAAAACTCCATTGTTAAATAAAATTTGTTTCCCATTATAGAACTATTCAATACAAAAAAAAAAAAAACTGGGAAAGTAAAGAGAAGGATAAAGAAGGGAAGAGGAACACTGTTTCAATATCTTCAAATCACCCATGTATTACTTTGGAATATTGTATTCCAATCTTTTATTCTATTTTTATTTCTCTTTCTTTTTTCAGTGTTTTAATACATACAGTTGTTCCCCAATATCCATAGGAAATTAGTTCCAGGACTCCCCGAGGATACCAAATGCTGGATGTTCAAAGTCCCTTATATAAAATGGCATAGTGTTTGCATATAACTTACATCATCCCATATACTTTTAATCACCTCTAGCTTATTTATAATACTAAGCAATGTAAATGCTATGTAAATAATTGTTCTTAGGTATTGTTTAGGGAATAAAGACAAGAAAAAAAGCATGTAAAATCATCTTTACTAGCATTCTTTAAAAATAAAAGTCATCCTTTCTGATAATTAAGAGTCAAACAGCTTAATGGAGAAGAACTAAATATGCCTGTCAATATCATTTTCATAATTATATACACACAAGAAACCATAATCCTTCTACTAGGTTTTTCACCAATTCAAATAAGGTGTCAATATATACATCACTTAGGAATAACTGAGAGGCACAATATGTATGTGAGCGAGAACAAAAACAAGAAAGTAATGATAAATAAAATTAAGAAAATTAAGTATCCTAGCTCTCCTGGATTTGTAAAATAGACACAGCTAAGACTATGAGTTAAATTTTGACATTAGTACATATTGTAAGAAAAAGGTGCAACATTTACTTTATTTTTATTTTTGGTACCGGGGATCGAACTTGGGACCTTGTGCCTGCGAGGCAAGCAGCAGCACCACTGAGCTAAATCCTTGGCCTCAACATTTACTTTTTTAAAAAAATGCCTCAACAGATAAATACCAATTTGGGGCAAGAAGATGCTTTACACACTAGAAAATCCAATGTCTGCATGCCCTAGTTAAGGACAGCCTTATGCCTAAGATTTCTCAGTCCTATACTCTGACATCTCCTACTCGCCATTGTCTTCTTCATATCCTCTCATGCTCTGCTGCACGCAGATTCCACCCCTCCTTTCATCCCATGTCTACAGCATCTAAAACTCAAACAAGAGTTCCTCAATTATGGCTCCTCTTTTCTTTAAGTCTAGCAAAACCAGAATGCTAATCAAGGTAAGCTGTTCATAAAAATGTTAAAGCACTGTCTCATATGGACTACAGGGTTACCTGAAGATTTTTTTAAATTTAAGAAACTAGAATAAATTTTCCAACCAAAGTTTGCAATGATAAGAATATGACCTTAAGGATATCACTTACTTAAAACATCGTGATGAGATAGGTAAGACAAAATTACTGCCTGTTTTCTTCAATTCTACATGTTTGGAAGCATAAAACCAGAATGAAATATACAAAAGAGGCTGCTTGTTAAACTCTTTATTTAAACTATCTTTGATCTAAAAAATACTAGCAAAACTTTTTATCTTTTACTATGGTAGAATGCTTTACAAAGTTGGGATCAGCACCATCTGACACATCTTTTGGATACTTATGTAATGGTACTGAAAGGTGGAGGGGCCTGTAAGAGGAAAGTGACTGAGTCAAGACCATCCCCGTGAAAAGATTAATGCTGGCTTCCTGGAGTGGTGGATTGGTTCTCACAGAAGTGGATTAGTCTCCTGGATAATGAGATGTTACACAAGAGCAGATCAGGAGCCTCCCCAGTCTCTGACTTTCTCTATTGCATGAGACCTCTCTTTAGCCTAATGCCATTTGCAAATAAATCTCACGTCTTTATAAACCAACCATTCTTAGGTGTTTTGTCCTGGCAATATAAAATGGACTAAGATAGGGTGTGAATTCTTAGGAACTTGAAAGCAAGTAAGACATGGAACTTGAGATAAAACATTCCAACTTCCTGGTAACATATAAAGAAATATTATCTAAACAGACTCCTATAAAGCCAAAGTTTTTACCATTTTATTTATTAGTTTATTATTTACTTAAAGACACTTACTGGAGCTCTACAGTACAAGGAAAACTCCAAACAAAACTAAAGAATATGTATAGAATCCTGTGCCCAAAAGTTGTATGTATGGGAGGTGGGGTGTGTGGATAGTTCAATGATTATGTTTTAGGTAATAATTTGAAGTCAGAAGTTTGACCAAAGTAATTCTTTGATTTTTAAAAATGTTCTTATAAAATGTGATTGGTTATATTATATGATCCCAACTTTCCCTTGGCTACCTGGGGCAAATTTGACTCCAAACCACCAGGTCCATGGCATGATGGTATGATGGAAGACATGAAGGAAAGTCACTTGGCTATTCTTCTTACGCAGAACAAAAAAGATCTGAAATAATGTAAAGAAAATCAAGTTTATAAAAATCATGCAACAACTTACTGAGCATTACAAAAATACTGGCAAAGAGCAAACTACCCTGTACTATAATTTACTTTAAGAGCATTGCTTTACAGAATGCTTACTTACAAAAGTAGCTGATTCTCCAAGGGGCAGCTCAAAAGCTAACAAGTATAAAAGAACACAGGTATTATAACTAATCAGGAGAGAGCCAATAAGAAAGTGAAAAGAAATTGTATGAAGATTTAAAAATCAAAAATATAAAGTGGAGTTTGACAAAAAATTACTGAAAGAAATAGTAATGGTTAAATTTTTTAAAATATAAAAAATAATGAATTTTGAAGTGTATGGGAAAGAGGAAGACTTTAATTTTTAGAACTAAATTATTTTATTCTACAATGCTTTTTACTACACCCTATCAATTTGGATAAGGAATCAGGTAAGTCAAGAACAACTTGCAACACATCAAAACATTAGCACTTTTTTATTAAAGCAGGAAGAGAAAACTTTTTGAGGTGTTCATTTGGAAACTACGATGGAAAAGAAAGCAAAGCTGTGTAAGAAAAATGAGCAGGGCAATAAAAGGACCACTCATATTGAACATACCCTGTGGTTTATAGAAACCCTATAAATAAAACAAAAGTAGAACTGGGGGGATGGGGATATTTAAAAATTCCCAAGCAAAATTCAGAATACCAGTGCTAAAGTTTGACTTTTAAATTCAGGACTAAAACAGCACAACACAAAGAAAAGTATTATTGTGATGGAGTATTTGAGAAATGTAGTTCAGGAAAGGACAAAGAGGCAGCAACAGTGTTCTTATGGAAGCTGGAACTGACAACATGCAAAGCAGTCAATGAGGCCAAAATACGTTTGCTTAAGCACAAGGAAGAACATAGCCTGGGGCAACAGTGAACCACCCCCTAGTCCCAGTCAGTGGCAAGTCCTCGGAGAGCTCTGGTTTGTCTCAATGGTTCTCTGCTCCTATTCCATATTACAATATCCAAGAAATTTTTTAAAAAATAATCATTCCTGGTCTTTACTCCAGATCATTTGATACCAAATCACTGGAAGTGGAGCCCACATGTGCTTGCTTTGTTCCCAATACCATTATTTCCACTACACAGAGAGACACTAGACTATCAGCAGGGGAGCTCTCTCTCTCTTTTTTTCCATTAAGTTTATTGGTACATTTTAGGTATGAAATACAGTTACATTCATCATTGGGATCTTGTAACTTCACATGATGTATCTTAGTTTTTATTTTTTCCCCTTCCCCTGCCCTCCCTTCACCCCCTCCACCCCTTCCCTATTTGCAAAGACTTTGTTTCCATTTTTTTTTCTCATATTTTTTCTTTTCCCTTCTTTCCTTTCCCCTCCCTACCCCTCCCACTTCCCCTGCTCCTTTGGACCTTTTCTTCCTATTACACAATATCAATTATACATTGTTTAAAAATTACAATATCAAGATTTAGAGGACATTACCACAGATTTTACAGAATTTAAAAGGATATAGAAAGCATATTACAAAAATCTTTTTTGAAATAAATTTGACAACTTCTAT